CCTCCCAGACGGCCCAAGAGCCCTCCAAGACGTCCTCCAAGAAGGCCCGAAAGGGTCAAAATGACCTCCAGACGGCCAAGATGACCTTCAAGATGCCCACGTGTTCCCCGAAGGCTTTCCAAACCGATTCGGGGAACACATGGTCCGATAGCTTGGCAGGTATGGCCTCAACGTTCGGCCACATAGGCGCTTCCAAAAAGACAGGGGGCGGCGGTGATTCGCCGTAGGCGTCTTCGATCCGCCGCCCCCTGTCGATTCATCGCAGGGGTGCCTGGCGTGCTAGACCCTTTCGGTTTTGGTTTTGGTTCTTTTTCCCAAAGAACTCCCCCTGGGGCTTCGGCCCGTCCCGCCTGGGTCCAGGGAAGGACCTCAATCCAGAAACAAATCCTCCATGGCGGCTCAAGATGGCGCCGAGATAGCCACGTTGGCCCAAAATGGCATCCAAGATGGCTCAAGATGGCCTCCAAGTCCGCCCAAGATGGTCCAAGACGGCCTCCAAGACGGCCCAAGAGAGCCCAAGACGGCTCAAGACGGCCCAAGAGGCCCCCCAGAACGGCCCAAGAGGCCTCCAAGAGGTCCTCCAGGAGGGCCCGAATAGGCCAAAATCATTGATTCCCCTTAGATTTCTGAAGGATTTTGGCATTCGCTTCTTCTCGGCTTTCCGACGACCCATGACGGCCCAAGAGGCCCCCAAGATCGCCCCCGCAGCGCCCAAGAGGCCTCCAAGATGGCCTCAGGACTGCCCAAGAGGCACCCAAGACGGCCCCAAGAGGGCACAACGACCCAAGAGCCCTCCAAGACGCCCAGGATGGCCTCCAAGACGGTCCTGGAGCACCCCAAGAGGGGCCCAAATCGGCCCAGAAAGGCCCCCCAAACGGCTTCCGACGGCGTCAGACGGGCCAGGAGCCCACCAAGATAAGGTGGCCGAAGTTGGCTCGAAGCTGGCCCAAGACGGCCCAAGAGGCCTCCAAGAGGGCCTCCAAGAAAGTCAGAAAAAGCCCAAGACACGGATTGTCCTACGGTGTTTGAAAAGTTTTGGCAGTTGCTTCGTTTCGGCCTTCCGACGGCCCGATACGGCCAACGAGCCCCCAAAGATCGCCCAAAGATAGCCCAAGAGGCCTCCGAGATGGCCCAAGAACGGCCCAAGAGGCCCCCAAGACGGCCGCAAGAGGCCCCCAAGACGGCCCAGGAGGCCTTTAAGACGCCCAAGATGGCCTCCAAGACGGCCCTGGAGCATTTCAAGAGGGCCCCGAGTCGGCTCAGAGAGGCCCCCAAAACGTCTTCCGACGGCGTCGGTTGGGCCAGGGGCCCACCAAGACGGCCGAAGATGGCACTAAGCTGGCCCAAGACGGCCCAAGAGGCCTCCAAGAGGGCCTCCAGAAAGGCCCGAAAAGGCCCAAATCAGTGATGTACCATGAATTGTTGGCCCGAGACGGCTCAGGTGCCCCAAAAGACCGCCCAAGAGGCCCAAGACTGCCCTAAGAGGCCCCCAAGACGGCCCAACAGGCCTCCAAAACGCTCAAGATGGCCTCCAAGACGGCCCAAGAGCCCTCCAAGACGTCCTCCAAGAACGCCCGAAAGGGTCAAAATGGCCTCCAGACGGCCAAGATGATCTTCAAGATGCCCACGTGTTCCCCGAAGGCTTTCCAAACCGATTCGGGGAGCACATGGTCCGATAGCTTGGCAGGTCTGGCCTCAACGTTCGGCCACATAGGCGCTTCCAAAAAGGCAGGGGGCAGCGGTGATTCGCCGTAGGCGTCTTCGATGAAGCCTGAGCCCTCTTGAGCCACAGTGGTCTCTGCTTATATCGGCTGTACCAAACACGCTTCACTTTTTGCATACCAGCTCGGCACTGCGAGCTGCTTCGAGCTCATCACTTACACCGGGTCGTACAAGAACCAATGCGTGTAAGGTGTGTACATCGGGCGAGCAAGCCGGCTGTAAGTCGTGGTCTTGTGGTTTGTTAAGTAAGCGTAGAAATCGGCCGCAAAGGTTTGACACATTCTGGTCGCCAAGCTGTAACGGTCCGACTTGCCGATATAATTCAACAGAGCCCGCATGATCTCCCTGCGTGATCGGAAGCTGTTTCGTACGGGGCCCGATAAACTCTTCCCGGAAACCACAGCTGGAAACTCGACGTTGGCAAACCGTGGTTTCTCATCCTCGTGGTCGCCCTCTGCACTGTACTTCCGCAAATACGCAGAAAACTGCTCAGCATCTTTCGCAGATATGTCGAATGCGCGAATTTCCGATTTTGTATTGATCCATGGCTGCACCATACCAGGCGCTTGATCGATCATTGATTGGAACAACCACGTAGTGCTGCTCCATTTGTCCGCATTCCAGTTTGTCCTTCCGCCATAGCCTCCAAGTCCGTTCTGCCAGGCCAACTCAAACACCGTTGTGAAATTGCATCCCTTGTCCCACTCCACCAAGACTCCAACGTGTACGTCACTTGAATCGGAATCGCCGTAATTGTGAGCGAAAACGTGCGCGCGTGTAGCTTTGCAGTTGAAGTCTGGGTCGTTTTTGACAATGTCTTCACCATGCAGCAGATACTGTGCTTGAGGAAGGTGGTGCGCCAAGAGGAGGAAACCTGGGGATGATTCCGACCAACCCTTCTTAAACCACGCTGGGACTTCTAGCCTTGCCCGGAGCTCATGAGGTTGCTTGCAATACTTGTCCAGACTAGCCAATGCTGACGCAGGTGCGCCACCACCAGGGAAATCCCACAGCCGGTGCACGCCTCTTTTGGGACTCAAACATGTTATCGCTCGCAACGGCAAGCCTTGCCAAGCGGCCCAACCATTGATGGCGCCTTGCACGATGTATTGACCATCCGGCATCTCCGTAAGCTTTTCGCTGAAACTGCTTACCTTTATGGTTGGCGTGGGTCTGCGAAGCTTTGGCTGACCACCCACGCATTTGTTCGCGACATCATCGCAAAAATCATCAGCCACAATCTTCACGTATAGCTTACTAGGTTCTGCGGTCTCACCCTCGAAGAGCCATCCAGATTCGGGATCACTGCGATAAGCGTCAAACTCAGAATCGCTCCTGCCCTGCACGCGTGATGCATCACATCCAGGCCCAAGTAGAAAGAGGCTGATGAACAGAGTGACCGACTTGACCACATGACTCGCACTTGACGGGCTGACTGGCATCGCTCCCGAGCACTAGGAGAGCAGATGGCGGGCCGAGAAACTCAGACAACGGAGAGACGCTAAAAGAGAATAGAAGCTTGAGCCAAGGCTGACTGCCTACCAGACCACCCCGACCCAACCCGAAGACCCGAATTTGGCCAAATGTTGGGTTGGGGGGGTACGGGTTCCATGTGCTTTTTCAGTGTTCCCCGACCCCCCCCCCTACTGGAAATGAAGGGCAGATTGAGGCCTTCGGGTTGGGTTGGGGTGGTTTGGTGGGTGGTGAAAGGCGGCTGAAACCACCATGCGCGAACCAATACTGCATACATCACCGCCGCCCTCCTCAAACCAAGAGGCCTTCAGGGTCCGAAGCCTCCTGAGCACACTCCGTAACCAGCGCCCCCACCGTAATCCAGCATGGAGGCTGTTCTGAAGAACTTCGCCCCTCCCCTGAGCCCAAGCACGAACAGCATAGCGAGCAGTGCAGCACACTTGAGGCAGCATGTCAGAGACCATTGCTTGACATGCTATTGCAGTACGAGCTGATCGAAAACAAGACTCTTGATGGTAGCGGAGCGGGTCGGTAATTACTACGACTCGCTCCATCCCCGCGCGCGGCCGCGTGATGGCAGCTTGCGCCTGGGCGTGAGCTCGCAGAGGGCGAGGCCTCGGAGTCGAGCCTCGCGCCCTCGTGCGGCCAGGCGGCATGAACGGGCAGCAGGTGCTCGCGGCGTGCTTCTCAACAGCGCCCAGATGAATCGATGGACGGCCAGTTTGGCCAGACAGCCTCAGGAGCAGAGCGCGGCCCTGCGCGCAGCAGTGCAAGCCAACGAGGAGTTCCTGCGTTAGGAAACCGTGCCTCGCAAACGCAATGGCATGGTGGACTCAAAGGCCGTGCAGAAGCCAGTGAGCTTGGTGGCAAAGAGAACGGCTGGGCTGGAGGGTCGCACTAATTCGTGACCCAGTTGTCCAGTAAATACGAGAACACCGAGGAGCGGCTGGAATGGGCGGCCGGGAATGGCGCGGAGCCGATCAACGAGGCAACAGTTAACGAGATCTTGGGGGACATGCCCAAGGCGATGGAGCTCAACAAAACTTTCCATGCCATCCTAATTTCGCACATGACGACTGCGGCGAGGTCTTCCGACCTGCTCAAGAACACACGTAAAACCCAAGGGTTAGACGGATGGCGGAAACTCAGCCAGAAATACGGCCGCCGAACCCCCAACGTCAATTTGCGCCTCTTGTGCAAAATCTTCAGGCCGGCCCAGGTATCAACCGACACCCTGCTGTCCGCCAGGGAGCATTTGGAACAGAACTATGCGCACTGTAGGGAGAGGACCGAGGAGGAGCTGAACGATTCTATGAAGCGTGCGACTCCTCAGGCTACTCCAGATTTCGTAATAAAAGGGAGGGGGTCTGGACCCTCCAAGACAAGCCATTTCAGACCTCCCCCGTGGGAGAACCCTCCAAAACATCGTCCCCAGACCCCCCAGGCCATCCAAGATAGCCTGGAAGAGACCCCCCCCGAAATGAGACCCCCCTCCCTTTATTACGAAATCTGGAGTATGTGCCAGGACGTCTTGTCCGAGCATCATCTGGACCTAAACGCGGGGCCGCTGCAGACCTACGAGGCGCGCAAGCTGGAGGTCGAGCGATTCGTGGAGCGGACCGTGGCGCGAAGGGGGCGTACGCCTAGGGGAACAGGGAGTCTGGTGCACAAAGGCCCGCCCAAAGGTGGCATACCTCGGGGCAACTCTAAAGGTAAAGGTACTCCAGATTTCGTGATAGAGGGAGGGGGGTCTCATTTCGGGGGGGCGTCTCTTCCAGGCTATCTTGGAGGGCCTGGGGGGGTCTGGGGACGATGTTTTGGAGGGTTCTCCCACGGGGGAGGTCCTGAAATGGCTTGTCTTGGAGGGTCCAGACCCTCTCCCTTTTATTACGAAATCTGGGGTAGGGACGGAGGCAAAGGTTGAGGGAAAGCTGGCGAGAGAAGCAAAGGCAGGGACGGCGGCAATCCCAGCAGTGGCAGTAGCGTGGGAGCCGGGCGGGGACAGCGACGATTCCAGGGATGTTGCGGCAGGTGCTGGGGATGGGGCCATGATAGAAAAAGAAAAAACCACATAAACATAAACTTTTGGCGCTCCGCGCGGACTTCTTGGATCTGCGCCGGACCCCCTCCCTGGCGCGCGGAGCGCGCCAGGGGCGGCGCCGGAGACGCAGCCGGGGGGGGCCCAGCGCGGATCCAAGAAATCTGCGCGGAGTGCAAAAAGTTTATGTGTATGTGGTTTTTTCTTCTTCAACATAATAGGGCGGACTGCCACAGCAGAACGGACGTGAACGACATCCAGATCGCCGATCGCACCCAGATAGAACGCGCCCAACGGTGGCCCCAGGGGCAGGCCAGAGGGTACGCCCAAGGGTGGTCGCGGAGGCGGCGGCGGTCGTCACGGCAGCGGCGGGGCGCATGAGCTCAGCGAGCAGACATACCCAACGGAAGGTGCGCAGGCAGGGACTGGTGCGAGGGGTTCACTGTTCGTGCTGGAGCGCGATCCTGAGCAGCATGCCAGTGGATTGTCGACGTCGCCGTCCCCCTTCCGAGCCGGGCTTCCAGTAGGAGAAACCAGAGGACGAGGCACTACGAGGCGAAGGAGGACGAGGAGAAGAGGAGTCGCAGGAAGAACGGAGACGAGGACGACAATGAGAGGAGAACGAATCCCAGGAAGCACGAGCAGAATGAAGGTGAAGAGGGTGAGGAGGCCTGCTACGAAGACGATGCTACGGAGAAGGCACTCGCCGGGGACGCGGCCTCGAGATCGAGCCCGCGACCCAAGGACGGTGCCAAAATAGAGCGTGGCGGCCATGGCTTCGGCACCGAGGCGGCGGCGCGCGAGCCCTCGAGACGAGGACGCGGCTTCGAGATTGAGCCAGCGACCCGCGGGTGGTGCCAGGCAGAGGGTGGCGGCCGTGGCTTCGGCATCGAGCCAGCAGCACGCGATGCCCTCGTGACAAGCAAGCGGCACCGGCTTCGAGCCGTCGTGCGGCGCAGGACGCCACTCCTGGTGCCACCGCCGGGAGCAGGACCAGGATGAGGAGGAGCAGAACCAGCGGAGGAGCAGAGGATGAGGAGGAGAAGACCCAGAGGAGAGACAGAGGAGATGAGGAGGAGCATGCGCAAGGGAAGTGCAGAGGCAGAGGAGGAGCATAGTCAGCAGAGGAAGGCACGAAGATCAGAGGACGAACACCAAAGTACGTACTCGGATGGCAACTGAAAGTGCAAGAGGCGGGGCTACACGCGTAAGGAGGCCAAGAGGAAGAAGTGCAGCAGGAGACGCGCAGAGCTAAAGGCTCAGCGCGAGCACACTCAGAACGAGCGTAACAACGGCGACACGCGGGCATCTACCCACCGATGGCGCGTGTCGGCGCCCTGGACGACTCCAAGCTGGAAGTCTTGGCGTACGCCTTGGTGGGCACGGCTTCGCAATCTGGCCGTCGCTGCCCGGACCAGGTCCACGTGCCGAGCAGCGCACGCTCCCGGAAGGAGCACCAGGGAGAACAGCACGTGCTGGGCTCATGGCGCGATGCACCGGCATCGCTGGAGCCATGGAGGAGGTGGCAGCGGGAGGGACGAGAACGGATCGACATAGCGATCGTTTCCAGAGCGTCCACCAGCATGTTACCTAGGACCTTGGCTGCGCAGCATCCGCTGCGCAAGGATGTGCCCCTCGTACCTATGAGACTGCATTTAAGCACACCGTCGTAAACGACGGCGAGAGGGAGCTCGACTGCGATTTCCGGAGTGGCCACGACGAGAAGACGGATTGGGAGGTGGGAGACTTCCACAGGCCTCTTCCCGGTGCCTCCAGGATGGTTAAGGCAGGTAGTTGCGTATGCTTCAACTCGGAGTCGAGTGGTGGCAGTTGTATTCGGCGGTGGACAAGCCCTGGGAAGCCTTCGACGAACTCCGGAGGCCTTGAGAAGGCCTTCGCCAGAGACGACGACGACGACGACGACGACGACTCTGACGACGGCCCTGACGACGACGACGACGACGACGACGACGACGACGACGACGACGACTACTACGACGACGTCGACAACGTCGTCGACAACGACGATCACGATTGAGGCCTCTAGAATTTCTCCAAAGTTCTCTGCAGGTCTCCAGATGCCTCCAGATGCTCTCCAAAAGCCTCTATGGAGGCCTTCAGAGGCCTCAGAAGGCCTTTCGCAGGCAATGCTCCAAAGGAGTTGGGGACGACGACGACGACGACGACGACGACGACGACGACGACGACGACGACGACGACGACGACGATGGACGACGGCGACGACGACGACGACGACTACTACGACGACGACGACGTCGACAACGTCGTCGACAACGACGATCACGATTGAGGCCTCTAGAGTTTCTCCAAAGTTCTCTGCAGGTCTCCAGATTCCTCCAGATGCTCTCCAAAAGCCTCTATGGAGGCCTTCAGAGGCCTCGGAAGGCCTTTCGCAGGCAATGCTCCAAAGGAGTTGGGGACGACGACGACGACGACGACGACGACGACGATGGCGACCTCGCGAGCAGCCTCTGGAGGTCCCCCAGTGCCAGGGGTCCCAGGAGGTGTCCGGAGGTCTCGGGATGCTTTCGTCAGAGGTCTGGGGACGACGACGACGACGAAGCGCCTTAGAATTCTCGACCCCTTCCACGAGGGCATTTTTTTTCACGGATCCATGTTCGATAACCCTGGGCTCGAAACTGCCCTTGGATACCGAAATTGGGAGGGCAAGAACGGTACCGATATCACTTCTCCGCGAACCTCTCCCAGGGGGCGTTCTGACCAAGATTTCAAGGAGATTCCAGCAGTGGTGAGGAAAACTCTCCAGGTTGAGCAGTGGTGTCGGCACATGTTCGTCCTCTGAGGAATTGCGGAAAACCCAAGTCTATCCTCGACCGATCGGCGACGACGACGACCGCGGCCTGGCTGGAGTTGCTCGAAAACGCCTCGCACTGGTGCCCCCGGCCCTGCAGCACCGCGGCGACCATCTCGACGTCCTTGGCCGCTGCGGGCGGCCAACGGGCAGGGAGGGTCGAGGAGGATAAACATCAAGGGGGCGATCGAGAGACGATCGAGGAAGATCGGGGGAGGATCGAGGGAAGACCAACTACGGGCAGCCCACGGGCAGGGAGCACAGGCGGCACAAACATGAGCTTCGGGAGGTCCGCACGGACTTTCTGGGTCGGCGCTGGAGGAGGAGGAGGAGGAGGAGGAGGAGGAGGAGGAGGAGGAGAAAGAGGAGAAAAAGAAGGAGGAGGAAAACTGGGAGGAGCGAGAGAAGGAGGACCCCCCTTCACACCCCTGGAGGCGCCTCTGGCGCCGCTCGCGCCGCGCTCCGCGTGCCGTCGACGCCCGTCGTCGACGTCGTCGCCCTCGTCAAGCGGGGGCTTCTCTCCTCTTGGCTTCTGGAGTGAAGGGGCCCCAGGACACACAAATAAATACACACAAATAAACATATTCCCAATATTTTCTCATATTTTCCGGGTTTCTGTCTTCCCGCCCACTTCCCATATTTTCCCATATTTTCTGGGAAATCGAGGATTAATTGTGTCTGTGTGTTTCTTTTCCTCCTGACTGGAGGCCTGCTTCGGGCCCCGGGGCCGCCAACTCGCCGGCCCCAACGGGACGGAGGCGTGCTAAGCACTCTGGCAGCTGGCTTACAATGCTCCAGTTCGCCCACGTCGCGCGGGGCGGCCCCTGGGGGCCCCCGAACGAAAAGTGCCCTGGCAGGTCCCGGCCAAGTGAGACCCAGAGATGGTGTTCCTCCTCGGCGCTGCCTTCTAAGCTTTCCCGAGCGCGCCAGGAACGCTCCAAGAGAGCCCCGCGACGTGCTCGAGGCGGTCCGAGGGGCCCTCGGTCGCCGCCAGACGGCCTAAGACGCCGCCAAGAAGCCGCAAGAGAGCCTCAAGAGGCTCTCCTAGAGACCCTCAACAAGCAAAAAGTGTCCCATTCCCGTAGGAGAGAACGCACATTTTTGCGCACAAGCGACGTTTCGAGGTCCAGCGCGTCCATCACTGCCCAAGAGACCTTCAAGATCGCCCCGGGACGGCCCAGAAGACTCCCAACATGGACCCAACACGGTCCAAGAGGGCCCCAATACGGCCCATGCGGCCCCCTGGACAGCCCATGACAGCCCTACGAGGGGCCTCATCGTGGGAGCTCGAATTGAACTTTCCAGCTTGCCGACCCGCACGATCGTCCCTAGACGCCCAAGATGGCCTACAGTCGGCCCAAGTCGCCGCCAAGAAGCCCCAAGAGAGCCTCAAGAGGCTCTACTAGAGAGCCTCAACAAGCAAAAAGTGCCCCATTCCCGTAAGAGAGAACGTACATTTTTGCGCACAAGCGGCGTTTCGAGGTCCAGCGCGTCCAACACTGCCCAGGAGACCTTCAAGATCGGCCCGGGACGGCCCAACAAACTCCCAACATGGGCCCAACACGGCCCAAGAGGGCCCCAATACGGCCCACGCCGACCGGCACGATCGTCCCAAGACGCCCAAGATGGCCTCCAGTCGGCCCAAATCGCCGCCAAGAAGCCCCAGGGGAGCGTCAACAGGCTCTCCTAGAAAGCCTCAACACTCAAAAAGTGTCCCATCCCCTTCAGAGAACGTACATGTTTGCGCATACGCGACGTTTCGAGGTCCAGCGCGTCCAACACGGCCCAAGAGACCTTCAAGATCCCCCCAAAATGGCCCAACAGACTCCCAACATGGACCCAACACGGCCCAAGGGGGCCCCAAGACGGCCCACGAGGCCCCCTGGACAGCCCAACCCCTAAGTGGGGCCCGATCGGGGGAACTCGAATTCACCCCCATATCGACAGAGACGCGACAACAAGGGCTGGCGGAATGAGCGAAGCGATTGAATAACCGATCCAGGGTGCTGAACTTGAGCGGATTTGAGAGTCCGTCGTCGTCGTCTTATCGTCGCCGTCGTCGACGTCGTCGTCGTCGTCGTCGTCGTCGTCGTCGTCAACGTCGCCAACGTCGCCAACGTCATCGTTGTAGTCAGGAGGGAGACGGGGTCAGATGCTTGCGTACGAGACCTGTGCGTGCTTCGGGCCGCACCTTGACGGGAGCGCCTGCCGCGTCGTCGGTCGGCGGGGGGCGCGGCTCGCCTTCGCGTGCTTGAGAGTGTTCACCTTACAGCTACGGTGGAGGTTTTAGATGAGGATGCCCTCGATGACGGACCCAAGGTCTCGCGACCGATGGGCGGCCAAACGCGGGCCACCCACCTCGCCACGAAACCGTAAGGAAAGCGCCAGAAGTCTGGGCCCCAGGGGCGGCGCTGGCGGCGCCGCCTGGGGGGCCCAGCGCGCGTCCGAGAAATCCGCGCGGAGCGCCCACAGATCCGCGCGGCGGGGTCGCGGCGAGTCGGCACGACGCAAACCTGCCGCTCCCGCTTCGGTCGTCCCGAGACGAGGGCGCGGCGCCGCCGGCTCAGCGCGGCCGCGGCGCGCCCGCCCGACCCCGCCTCTCCTTCTCCCAAGCCGCCGCCGTGACGGCACGCGGCTGGGCGGCCCTTGCAACTCTCGGCGGAGGGTGGACCACGAGCGCCCGCATGCGGACTCGGCTGCCCACGTGCCCGTGCGTATCCGGCTGCCCACCTGCCGCTAGCGGCACGCGGTTGCGGGCTGGTGCCGAGCGCCGTGCCCTCGTCGGGGCAGGGCGCGGTGCCCTCCGGCGGCCCGCAGTGGGGCCTGCCGTCCAGGCCGCCTCGCGGCACGGCGGCCTCTGCGGCCAGGGCGCGGGCAGGGTGGCGGCAGCGGGGGGGGCGCATCGCGCCAGGGCGCATGGCGTCAGGGGGGAGGCGGAGGAAAAGGAAGAAGCTAACTTTCACCCTCAACATTAACACGTCGCCCTTGGTCGTGACGGAGGGGGAGGAGGTCCTCAGGATCTTCACTGTGTTGTGCGGTGGGGGCATTGGTTGAGGAACCCTTAGATAAGGAATCCAGGGTCTGGAAGCCGGCGGAACTCCAATCGAGGCTTGGCCACGGATGTCACCGCCGCCCTCATAGGATGAGGAGTCCTCTGGGGTCTGCAGCCTCCCGGGCGCAATCCTTGACCAACGCCCCTGCCGTGCGCAACCACTGGCCATGCCCTGATGGCAGGTCGGCCCACTCGTCCGTGCAGTCGGGCCGTCCGAACCGAACCTCGACTGCACAGCCTATGCAGCATCAAGCTGGGGGTGGCAGAGGCTCTCGCTGCACCTCCTCGCTCGATGGCCGCCGACAGGGCTGAACCTCAACGGTGTTTTCGTTACATATATATATATATATATACTGAAAACCTTATATGTATATATATAGTTGTTTCGTATTGTTTTCGTTTTCCCTAATTTAGCCGTCGATTCGCCTTTACCGCAAAACAAAGTCGAAACGAAGACGGCCCACGAAATCGCCAGAACACCGTTTTTAACTCCAGCCCTGGCCGCCGAAGACCACGCAACGAGCATGCGTGCAGCAAGGGCAGCTGATGCAGCCGGTGCCACCGCCGTCCTGCCTCCGCCCTCGTGCTCCTGCGAGGACCACGGTCTGGTCGCAGGCTGGCCCGCACGGCAACCGCAGCACCCCCTGCCCTGCCACTGCCGCCCTCGCCGCGTGGGAAAGGCACGGCACGGCACCGCTGAGTTCCCTGGCGTCTTATAGCATGTGGATGGTATGCGGGGCGAGAGAGGAAGCACATAGCGAATCTACTTCTACCGTCGGGGCCTTGACCTAAGGAACCCTAAATAATGAACGAGGCCCCTTTTTTCATAAGTTAAACTTCGATTCCCCATCGAAAACCTAAGGAAAACCTGAGGCAAGCTGCGAAACACTTAAGGAACGCGGAGCCCCTCCCCAACGAAAAGGGTTCCTTCCTCAAGACCCCTACTGTAGTCTGGGGCGGGAATCAACGGCCGCACGCAGCGCACATCCACCGACACCCGTCGCAGAGCACTCGGTGAGGATGCAAACTTCTGGAGTCCAGTGTTGGCATCCTCGGTTCACGAGCCAGGCTCCTCCCCTCTTCTACTCCTCCACATTCCCAAATAGGCTCAAAAGAGCCCAAAGCATTGATGCTCGCTCCTGGTTCGTTCTTCCTTCTCCTCCTCCTCCTCCTCCTCCTCCTCCTCCTCCTCCTCCCCCTCATGATTTCCGGGCTTCCTGATGCCATGAGGGTGCTTCGCACGCGGCCACTTCCCCCAGGACTGGCCGTTCAGCCATCCCTGGGGGAGTAGAAAAAACTAGGAGAAACTGATTGGCAACGTTGCTGACAAACAGGTAGGAGGGAGGGAGGGAGGGAGAGGTCATGAAAACATCCATCATGAGATCGCAACGAAGAGGTGGGAAAGGTGGTAGAGGCTGAACATGTGGCGGAAGCAGCTGCGTAAGGATGCCCTGGGGCCTGTGTATAGGTCCACCCTCATTCGGTTCACGTGGCCCTCTTGAGCCACCGCCCCAGAGGGTGCCTAAGGTCCCTCTCCGTTGAGGTGCCCTGGCTGGCCTGAGCTGTGGAGTGAGAGAGGGCGACGGCGGCTAGCCTGCTGAGTTAGGATCGTGGCGGCAGGTTGTAGCCCCGATGGCTATTGGTGGTGGCAGCCCTGCTAAGCATTCATGGTGAGCACGGGTAGCCCTGGTGGCTAGCGGCGATTGTGGGGGGTGGGGTCCTCCTCCTCCTCCTCTTCCTCTTCCTCCTCCTCCTCCTCCTCCTCCTCCGCCTCCTCCTCCTCCTCGTGCTCCTCCTCTTGCTCCTCCTCCTCCTCCTCCTCCTCCTCCTCCTCATCATCTTCCTCCTCATCATCATCATAATTTTCAGAAGCAGCATCATCACCATCACCACCATAAGATTAGTAATAATCATCATCATCATCATCATCATCATCATCATCATCATCATCATCATCATCATCACCATCATCATCAGCATCATCATCATCATCGTCATCAGCATCAGCATCATCAGCATCATCTCCATAGGCAGGATCAGCACCATCATCATCATCATCATCATCAGCAGCAGCATCACCAGCATCATCATCATCAGCATCATCATGATCATGATAATCATCAGCATCATCATCATCATCAGCAGCAGCATCATGATCATCGTCATCGTCATCACCAGCAGCAACATCATCGTCATCATCATCGTCACCATCGTCAACATCATCGCATTCATCATATTCGTCAGCATCAGAATCCTCATCCTCATCCTCATCCTCATCATCATATTCATCGTATTATCTATCATCTGCATCTGCATCTGCATCTGCATCATCATCATCATCATCATCATCATCATCATCATCATCATCATCGTCGTCGTCGTCGTCGTCATCGTCATCGTCATCGTCATCCTCATCACCACTACCACCATCGTCATCTTCTTCATCGTCGTCATCATTACCGCCCACCTCCCACTCCTGCGCACGGTCACACTAGCGCTCCCCAAACCCTGGAGATCTCCTTGACACTGTTGCAGAAGATGAGCGCCTGCGTAGGACGCCGGGAAAGAGGCGGAACGAGCATGCGGGAGTGGCATGCAAGGGTGAAGGGGCCGGCGGGAGGGGAACGCAAGGCAGTGGAGGGGAGGGAGGTCTGGGGAGGGGGAGGGGGGGGGGAAGAGCTGAGCGGGGGAAGGGAGGGGAGGGGGCTAGAGGGAGGGGCGGAAGGAGAGGCGACGGCGAGGGAAAGAAGGAAGTGGGGCGGGGGGTTGGAATGAGGGGTTCACGCGAAAAGGGCGGGGACTTGTGGAAGGGGCAGGGGAGAGATCCGGTAATCCTCGGCCAGCTGGGGGAGTGTCCGTACTATAGAAGGCCGCCCCCCTCACCCAACCACCGCTGTGCGCGAACCTCTCCTGATGGGGTGCTCAAGCATCCGACGACGTGCTTTCTCCTCCCGCGGGCCCCAAAGTCCCGACTCCTTCCCACTGGTAGTTTCTCGTCCTGGATATCAGCGCGGTGGCCCCTCGGAGCCCGGAAACGGCCCCCCGAACGCCGCAGCGAACGAACAAACCAAACTTGCGACACCTCCGCCCGACGTCTGAGGTGCCCTGCTTCCGTGAGCAGCTGCCGATCTGCTGCAGGCAGACCCGCCCCGGCTCTGCAGTCAAACCCGTATCGGAAGGACGCACGGCAAGGATGCGAGGGCCCTGGTAGGCCATGTCGGCACGTTGCGGGCGGGGCGCGGCCAGCGAAAGCGGCCAAGGATGGGCCGAAGGGGAACGATGCAAGGGCAAACTTGGAAAACCGCTCATCAATACTATGCGGGCCGCCACGCCTACAGCCGCAACTGCTGAGGACACAACCGCGTCGTCGCGACAAACTGCGCCCATGTGCAAGCGCTTCCGTGCTCGTTCTCTGCCGGGGTTTCCTGAAAGTCTTCAGAGGTCCCCGGGGGCTTCCAGAGAAGGCGCAAAGACATCCGCAGGCCTCCGTCCTCCTTCCTTGCTGCAAGATGCAAGGGCTCGCCGTGGTTTTGCTTCCTCATGGCACCCATCCGCGGGGCGATCCAAAAAGGGCCCTGCCTTCGTGGATAGAAGGACTTGTCATCTTTTCCGCGGCGGAAGGCCGCGGAAGGGCGGCGGAAGGTCGGCGGAAGCAAAGCCAGGCCGCCTCCGCTGGCGGAAGACGGCGGAAGCTCGGCAGAAAGCGGCGGAAGAAAAAGATGCGCCCCCAAGAGAAGAGATGACAACGCTTTGGGCTCAGGGTTTTCGACATCGCCCACACGAGTGGGAGAGGAGGTGGAACGGCCGCGGCATGCCTTCCCGCACTGCTGCTTGGCCAGCTCGGACATCAGCAGATTCACCGCCTCGCATAGCGCCTGGACACTGGAGGCGCCGACTGTCGATGGAAGGACGGGGAAGCGCTGAGGAGGGAGGTCGAAGGACGAGTTCTGCTCGCCCTGCCCATGGAGAGCAACGTCGACGGCCGAGGCGAAGGACGGGGAAGAGCTGAGGAGGACGACGAGGCGGAGGCGCGCACGTGGCCTCGCAAGAGTCTGTCGCAAACCGCTACCACAGCATCCAGAGCATTACCAGACGGGTCCAGAGCATCCAGAGTGTATCCAACGGGTCCAGAGCATCCAGATCGTTACCTGCTCTCGGCGCCGGGACCATTGCCTCTGATGGTGCCAATGAAGAGATGGAGGAGGAGGGAGGTTCGATGAGGAGGCTTCGAGGAGGAGACAAGTAAAGTTTGGAGGAGGAAGAAGAGGAGGAGGAGGAGGAGGAGAAGGAGGAGACGCCGAAGATGAGGAGGAAAACCGGCTGAGGCGTTGAATGGGAGTAACAAGCGCCTGGTGTTTCTCCCTCAGGAGCCGTCCTCTAGCTGTCTGTACAGCGGCGATGACTACCAGATGGGGCGAGAAGAAGGCGGAGGGAACGAGGCAGGAATGCCCAGCGCAGGGACGGAAGGAGAGGGAGGGTGGAGGGAGAGGAGAGGGGCAGGGGAGAGGAAGGGGCAGCAGGAGCATGGGGGACAGGGAGAAGCAGAGGAAGACGGCGGAGGAGGAGCAGGGACGAGGGAAATACCCCCTCCTGCCGCCGCGACGAAGCACGGCCTGTGGCGCCGAACATCCGACCCCTCACCTCGATTAGCGGCAGCGGAATTGTGTCCTCGTCCTCCTCCTCCTCCTCCTTCTCCTCCTCCCTCCTCCTCCTCCTCCTCCTCCTCCTCCTCCTCCTCCTCCTTCTCCTCATCCTCCTTTTTGACGTTGGCCAGACTCTGAGCATGCTGCTCGCAGCCTTGGCGTCAAGCATGGTGCAAAACAACTACTTAGCGCAGTGATGGACAAATTAAAGCGAATTCTGCGGCTGGCCCGTGCGGTAAAGGAGACAACCAGCATGAGAAAAAGGTGAGTGCCCAGAAGGGCTCCTTCTCCTCCTCCTCCTCCTCCTCCTCCTCCTCCTCCTCCTCCTCCTCCTCCGTGCTGCCTTCCAAGCGGAGGCCGCGGAGGCGCGGGCGGCTGACTACCGCGTGGGTTTCGCCTTCGACCTGGAGGCGGACTCCATGGGCCCAGGTCGGCGTGGGCCGAGCCTGGGGTCAAACCCAAGTCCGGCCTACGCTAAGGAAGGGATCCTGAAGGATCCCCGCGGTAGAATCTGATGCATGCCCCTTTCGGGTCCAGTCTGGCCTCCTCCTCCTCCTCCTCCTCCTCCTCCTCCTCCGCCTCCTCCTCCGCCTCCTCCTCCTCCCCCTCCTGATGAATGATTTCGGAACACAGGATTCAAAACGAACCGCCTCTCCCCGCCCCGTGGGCACGCTCTGCTGAAGCCTCCGAGGCGAAACCTGCTGGAGGCGAACACGCGCCCCCCCCCCCCCCCCCTCGGAGGGCCGGGGCCCCCCCCCGTGGGGCCGGAGAGGCGAACGCGAGGAAGGGCACCCAACATCGGCATGCTCGTGTCCAGCGAACCTCCGAGGATTGGCCGTGTGCAGCTCACGGGCCGCAGGGGGCAGCGCTCGTCCGGGATTCATGCGTGTGTACGTGTGTGCGATGGTCCCGGGGCCCGGGAGCAGCTTCCGGGGGCCGAAGTCACAGAACCAGCAGGGGGCACCGACGTGTGATTCTGCCTGGAGCCCAGAAAAGGGCCAAGAGGCAGAGTCGGAGGCCCACGGAGCCAGCCGACTCGAACACACACACACACACACACACACACACACACACACACATATATATGTATATATATATACATATATACACACCACGCCCCTACGACACATCGGCTTAAGTGCTGCCGCGGCTGCCAAGATGGCGTCTGTCCTGGCCGCCGCGGAAAGCAATGAGGATGCAGCCGCAGAACACTCACGTGGCGAGTTTCGGCAACCCTGAACCCAAAAACGTGTTCATCTCGTGGGGGCGCCTTTTTTTCACTCCCGCCGCCTTCCGCCGAGCTTCGGCTGGTTTCCGCCGGCGGAGGCGGCCTGGCTGTGCTTCCGCCGACCTTCCGCCGACCTTCCGCCGCCCTTCCGCGGCCTTCCGCCGCGGAAGAGATGACGAATCCTTCTATCCTCGCAGGCGGGGCTCTCTCTGGAACGCGTCATGCGACAGACATGCGCCACTTGACCGTTGCACTGCACACCGACATACCTAGTGAGGGACAACGATTGGGGGGGACTGGCATGAGGGGGGATGCATCGAACCGGAATCGGCGATACATCGCCGATGGATCGGCGGTAGGCCTCCGATGGCGAATCCGCACCTTCCTGGGCAGGCTGGGGCTATGGGGCCCCTATCGGCGATCAATGGGCGATTGGGGGTCCATGCATCGCCCCCCTATGCCTGTCCCCCCCTGTCGTTGCCCCCGACCTGAGTCGGCGCTGCCCCCCCAAAAAAGGGGCTCTTGCTGGTTCTTGGACAGCCGGTGGGCGCTGGGCCTGCTACGGCTGGCGCTCCTCGGGCTCCCGGGCCCTTGGCTCCCTGGCTCGCTGGCCTCGGCTCCTTGCTGCGCTCCTCGGTTCCTCCCTGGCCCTGGTTCCTTGGCTCCGTGGTCTTGGCTCCCTGACCTTGGCTCCCTGCATGGTTTCCTGGTCTTGGTTCCCTGGTCTTGGTTCCCGGGCTTCTCGGTCTTGCTTCCTTGGTCTTAGCTCCTTGGGATTCATGGTCTCAATTCCTTGGTCTTGGTTCCGTGGTTCATTGGTCTTGGCCCCGTGGTTCATTAGTCTTGGTGGTTTGATTTCTTGGTCTCGGTTTCTTGTTCTTGGGTGCTTGGTTCTGCGGTACTGGCTCCTTGATTCCCTGGTCTTGGTTCCGTAATTCCTTGGTGTGGGTGCCTTGCTGCCTCGCGACGCGTGCCGAGCAATGCTAAGCAATGCCAAGGCATGCCAAGCAAATCCCGCCAACGCCACGCAGTGCTAAATAATGCTAAGCACTGCCAAGCAATCTGCCAAGCACTATGCCAAGCAATCTGCCAAGCAAAATGTATGTCAAGCAATACATACGCCATGCACATCCCATCAACGCCACGCAATGCCAAGCGAAACGCCAGGCAATGCCAAACAACAGGCCAAGAACTGCAAAGCAATGGCAAGTAACTCGAACCTGCCAAGCAACACGCCAAGCGATGCCAAGCAACGCCAAGCAGTGCCACGCAATGCCCCCATGCAGTAGGAAACGTTCCCCTACTGGTCGGCGGCGAGCCTGGGGGAAGTGAGAAGGGGCGGGCCTCCTCAAAGGGCTCGGAAGTCCCCCGGCCTTCTAAAAGCTTGTCCACGCCTTCCCCGAGGGCGCAAACCAAAATTCCCAGGAGGCCCGAAGGCTTCTGCGAAGCCCCGCTGCCTTCTCAGCAGGCCTTCGCCTTCTCGCTTCCCCCCCCCCCGCGCGTCGCTCGCCGCCGAATCTCGGGTGGGGCTGCACCGCTGCGGCCCGGGGCACACCACCGAGGGCCGCGAGGCCCGGCCGGCACAGAGGACCTGGGCTTCCTCTCACAGGGGATGCGCGCACACCCATCCCAGGCGTGGGGAGGCTTCCGACTGGACCAGGAAGTTGGGGCCCAACCCTGGGAGGTACGAGGGGGGGGAAGGGGGCGACCATCCTCGACAAGGGCGCGTCCGATCGGGGTGTATCCGAGGGCTTCCCCCTTTTCCGGATCGGGGAAGAAGAACCGCCTGCGAACTTAGTGTCTGGCGATCTCGCGATCCGATCGCAGCCCCGATCACGATAGCTGCCGCGCCGGTCCCGGATCGATCACGCACTCCGGCTCGGACGGCCGCGTGGTAAAGCCGAACCGATCACGAGATCGGTGGACACGTGATCCCCGATCGCTGCCATCTGTGATCGCCGATCGCGTGACCAGCAAATGGGACGCAGGAGGAGGAGGAGGAGGAGAAGGAGGAGGAGGAGAAGGAGGAGGAGGGGGAGGGGGAGGAGGAGGAGGAGGAGGAGGAGGAGGAGGAGGAGGAGGAGGAGGAGGAGGAGGAGGAGGAGGGACCAGCAAATGGGACGCACAGAGACATACTAATACTGCACGTTCGCCTCGGAGGCGCCCCTCCGACCCGAACCTCTCGTATACCCATCTTGTCGTATATCGCTTCCCGAGCGGTGTGGTCAGAAAGCGCCCGCCACAACGCACGTGCTGTGAGATTTCGCGGTGAGGCGAGTCGCCCCTGGGGGGGCGACGCACACATAGTGTACAGTCGGGGCGTTGACCTAAGGAACCCTAGGTAAGGAACGAGGCCCCTCCTTTCCATGAGCTGAACTTCGACTTCCCATGCAAAAGCCTAGAAGGGAAACCCGAGGCAAACTGTGCAACGATCAAGAAGCACCGAGCCCCTCCCCAACGAAAAGCGTTCCTTCTTCAGGGCCCCGACTGGAGTACGGCAGGTTCGTGTCGTGCCGACCCCAGCGATGGTTTCTGTCACCTCGGGGATCGTTCAACCTTGAACGATCGGCCGCTGCCGCAACGTCCGATCGTTCAACATCGATCGATTCTGGGTCGCCGGCGGCGTTCAACCTTGAACGCCCGCGCTGGGGTCGCCGCTGGTCGACACGACGCGAACCTACCGTATGCTGGGGTGGCGCCGGGCAGACGCCGAGGCCCCGGGGGCCAGAGGGAGAGGCCGCGGCGCGCGCAGCAGCAGCGCGGGGCGAGGGAGGGACAGCTGTGGGAGCCTCGAGCTTCCTCTCTGGCGCGGTGGCCTCGGAGCCGGCGGCCCAGCGCCCCTCCTCGCCAGGGTACCTCGAGGTCGGCGGCGAGCGACTGGGGCTGAGAAGGAGGAGGGCGGACACCTCTCGTCGGATACCCCAGTGAGGAGGAGGGCGGCGGGGGCTTCTCAGGAGCCCTCCGGCCCTTCCGAGGAAATGCACTCTGCGCCCTCGGGGAGGCCGAAGGAGGCCTCTCGGAAGGCCGGGGAACCTCCGAGCCTTGCGAGGAGGCCCGCCCCGTCCCGCGTCCCCCGGGCCTGGCCGCCGCTCAAAGGGGGAGGGGGAGGAGCAGTGTGGAGCAGAGTAGCGCCAATCCTGCGTTCGGCGACCTCCGACTCCGTGGAGACGTGCCAGAGGCAGACACCATCGATAGAAACGGATCGGGCGTTCAGAACGGGGCCTGACGATACGCAGGGCCCTGCCGGGGAGTACCTCTGGCGCCATACGGGGCCCCCTTTGAGGGACACCGTGGGGGGCCGTCTACGCGCTTCCACCAGCTTAACGGGCCACAGGTGAACGTCGAGAACGCCTGCCCCAGCACAAGCCCAACTAGGTCTGGCGACGCGGAACAGCCCAGACGGCCGAAGAAGAACACGACCCAGCAAGGCGCCAGTGCTCTCGATGAGGAAAAAGAAGAGGAGGAGGAGGAGGAGGATGAGAATGGGGGGGAATGGAATGGGCTCCATCGCGGTGCGATACGAAAGGGATGAGAATGGGGGGGGGAGGAGGAGGAGGAGGAGGAGGAGGAGGAGGAGGAGGAGGAGGAGGAGGAGGAAGGAGGAGGATCGTCCCCCGACAGCAGAAGGGGACGACCGAACGAGTGAGAAGAGAAGAAGAAGCCGAGGGGGACGAAACGACGGCCGACAGCGCAAAGACGACAACGCGAGGGGCAGGGATGAAGCGGAGGCGACAGATCGAGGAGATAGAACGCAAACACTCAGCAGACTACAGGAGGAAGCGGAGGAGGAGGAGTCAACATTCGAGCACTTGTGTTCGAGGTCTTCGGATGTATTTCGCCTGCTCCGTGTTCTAGGAAGCTTCTCGTCGCCACGGCTGGATTCCCCCCGAACTCCCAATCAGAACGCTCCCATGGATAGGAAACCGCCAGGTCAGACTTCTGAAACATCGGCTCAGCATCAGAATCTACAGGAGGTCTGCAGCCGAGTGAACCCCAGCGGTGATGTCCCATATCCAGCGGGCTGGAGGCACGCCACGCATCGTTCGAGCGAGTTGGCGTGCATCGCTCCGCCACGTCGCTGTCGTTTTGCGCGAGGACAGGCCACGAATGTCAGGCAAACCTGGGCGCTAGCCGAAACACGGGTCGATGTCCACGCTGCTGGGATGCCGGCGCGCGTTTTTGGGGGCAACGCGCTGGCGTCGGTCAGATCAGGGGCCACAGGCGATCGCGCGCGCCCCTGCGAGCGCCACCGGCATGGGAACTCTCCTTCCCGCGCGCACCTCCACCGGGACACAACTTGCGTCGCCAGACCTCGTCGCAACCAAAAACTAATCGAGGGGAACTCACGCCGCGGGTGCGCCCGCGTCAAACTGGACCGGGCCGGAGCAAGAGACGCGGCGCGGAAGCGGCCAGCACGGGCATCGACAAACGCAGCACGAACAGGGCGCAGCCGCTGGGACTTTTCTGTGCCCTTTCAAGGGTTTGCGCCCCCTGGTGAACTGATACGCCCCTGCCCCCAGCCTCCGAAACCCACCTTGGCGAAGGAGGAGGAGGAGGAGGAGGAGGAGGAGGAGGAGAAGGAGGAGGAGGAGGAGGAGGAGGAGGAGGAGACAGAGGCAGGAAGGAGGAGGAGGAGGAGGAGGAGGAGGAGGAGGAGGAGGAGGAGATGGAGGAGGAGGAGGTGGCTATGGCATGCGTTGATCGTCCGCAATGAGCAGCGTGCCTTGCGCGCGTGCGCGAACTTACCTGCCGCGCCCCACTATGTCGGCAGATCTCTCTTGATGGGCCTGTTTCCCCACCACCACCACCATAAATTGGAAGGGGGGGGGTCCTCCTCCTCCTCCTCTTCCTCCTTCTCTTGGCACGTCGCCGCGAACCGGGTCCTGACTCCTCAACGCCTACTCCAGGCTCTGGCCACCTGAACCTTAGTTAAAGCCACGGCCTGCTGCGCCTGCTCCTCGCTGATGGCCCGTGGAAGCACGAAAAGTGAGCGGGGGTTGACAAACAGCAGATTGGCGGCAGCAGGAACACTCAAACTGGATTCGGTCGGAAGGGAAGCTCCAAATCGACATATGGGGCAACCGCGGACATCATTAGAGAGGACAAGATAAATAATATCGAGAAATCGGGGGCAGGACCAATAGTGCACAAAATAATCACTCTGCTGACAACCAAGCATGCAGGAATGAAAGATGTTTTCGCGAAGCCTCAAAGATGTTGGCCAACTGCGCTTAGGATATTCCATGCGGCATTGGCGATTGGCCCTCTCGTCTTGAGCAGGGGAACTCGAACTTCCCCCCTGCTAGCGAAGTCCAAAGCCGCAGCCGAGTCAGGAAATCACCGAGCGAGCCGATCCGAAAATATCCGACCGATATCATTTGGGAAGAGTTCCGCCGCGAGCACACGGGCGAGCCCACCTTGCAACTTTATGCGCCTATGGGGGTCGAGGGGGGTCCGCGGAAGAGGCCCAGAGCTCCGTCGCAGCAGTCAACGCGATCGGTCCAGCTCGAGAGAGCGCGGGAGTCCAAGGAAATCCAGCGGCCGCATCTCCAAGCGCTTCAACAAAAGACGGACTGGCCCAAAACTTCGGGGAGCTCACTCCTTCGACAATGGAAGCAATCTCGAGGTTACCACTGGTAAAGCCACGCAGCTGGCACATAATATCAGCATGCTCAGTAAAGGTGGCGATGGCCGAACGCACGAGGGCACCTGCGCACATGGCTTGAAGACTAAGAACAGAGGGTCCGCCGCAAGCCCCGAGGTTGAACCAGGCGGATCGAGAGTGGGCACATTGCGGGGCACGATTCAAGGGAGCGAGGGCAGCGCGTTCAGAGCGGGCGACAGGCGAGGGAAGAGCGGGACAAGCCGATGGGGGGGGGGGGGGGGGGGGGCAAAACTGGGCAACATAGCGAAGAGTCGGGGTGGAGGCAGCACGACTAGAACACAGATATTGGGCGATGGAGGCAGGCAAGCCCAAGGCAGCAATCACGGCGCATCTCGCGCGCCATCTGGCCAGCGGGGCATGCCAGGAATCAGCGGAGACGGAAGGCCCCCTGCGGATCCCCAGGTATCTCACAGAGGAAACGATCTGGGCGGCCCCCCAGCCAGAAAGAGCACGTCGAAGCCATCGCCTGTACTCGGCAACGAGGATGGGGCAACAAAAAGCGATAAGCAGAAACAGACAGCATCTGGCATTCTCTAGAACGAGACACGCGAAGGGCTCACTGCAATCGAATGCCGCCTTCAGATGATGGCGTTTGCGAAGGTCGCCCACCGCCGCTCCGATGTCGTCGGCGCATGCTCGCGTCATGCATGAGCTCGGAGAGACAGGTGCGCTCGCCCGCGGGGTCGATGAGGCCGTTGACACTCCAGCCGCCCCGCCCGCGCCAGTGTCCGAGACCGGCGCCGCGGTCGGCTACCCCCACCGACCCCGGAAGCCAACGGGGAACGGATGGCTCGCCACTGCGAAAAGAACACCTGATCCAGGGCACCCTTGAATGATGCCCGACTCTACATTCAAGATGCACTGGCAGTCTCGATCGAAGGCCCCGAAGCATCGAACGCCATCGCACAGCAGCCCTACGAAGACCCCCCTCGGAGGTGGAACGCCGAACGCCGCAGGACTGAAATGGATACAGTCATGGGCGACCGATGGAAAAGCCTGCCCGAAGCCAAATGCGAGGAGGACTGGAAGCCGAACGGCTACATCCGGCAACGTCGAAACCTGCCTGGCCCTCGCATCCAGCTCCAAGATGCTCTGACCGAAGTCCCTCCCCTGGACAAGCCTGCGCTGTGAGGCAATTCATGATATGAGTCCCAAACAACGGCTGAGACTCTCGAAAATTGTCCCAGTGATGAGCTTGTTGGCAGACTGTTGTAACCCAAGAGGGCGCGTTTGGTCTGCAGCCCGAGATGCCCCTTGAGAGTCTGATGCGTCCTCGCCTTTGGCTATGAATACACCCATGACATGGTTAAACAAAAGTAACATAGGAACATAGGCCTCCCACTGGGCAACCACCGGAGCCCCTCGCCCAGGTCACTGAGCCCTGCAGGACGCCTCTTCCAAGCCCGGCAAGGGGGCCCATCGAGTCCAGGAGCACAAGATTCGGATCTCCAAAGGCGACTTTGTCATTGACGAAGGAGGAGGGTGAGCGGGGATATCGATATCAGGAACATGGCGATGGAGATAACGATGCGCACCATGGGTCTGGATCTCATTCCTGGCGAAGACGGGCTGCCACTGCGCAGCAAGCAGCGAGTGCACCGCCAGAATCTGTCACAACTGGCTGTCCATCAGCTGCTCGAGTGCCCTGCAGGGTCATCCTGCGCCCGAACGGGCTCCAGAGTCTACTCCGTCGGATCGTTTTCTTGAGTGCCCCAACGGCCTTCTTCCTTGTCATCTCGCCACTCGCATCGGCAATCGTCGTTTTGTTTCCGGAGTTCGGCTTGTTTCTCGAGGGCAATCATCTCGTGAATCGAATTAGATCAACGATTAAACGCAGGCGCATCGGCCAATTCCACTGCCCCCGCCAGCGGGTCAATCCGGAAAAAAATCGACCCTGGAAGGGAGGGGGCCAGGCGACTTGGAGACCAGGCCCTCGCGGGTGACCTTCGCCGCCTCGCGCGTCAGCAAGACTTGGAGCTCGAGACGAAGCGGGGGCGTGAGCCTACTCTGATCGCGCACCTCGATCTTCCCCCAAATCCCCGCGCACCCGCGATGATCACACACCTCAGGAGGAACAAGGCTTTCACCAGAAGGCGCAGGTTTCCCGGGGCGAATAACAACTCGGACAGGCGCGCGATCAGAGATCCCGGTCCTATTCAGCAGCTCGGGCGGATCGACCACAACTCCAGAT